ATATTTATCTGTATATGATTTAACAGTTCATTTCTTGTTATATATCTAATTCTTTTTATAAATAAATATATTGAATTATCAGCAATTTGGTTTTATCTCTCTAGAGAACCCTGTCTAACACACACGCCCTTAGTGTTTTGCCTCGGTTTGGTGGAGTCAGATTGGGCGCAATTCCCACACTGTGTCTCCAGTCTTGTCCCCTGTAGGGCTATGGGTCAGTGAGGGATGTCATGTCTCATAGTGGGGCAGGCCATAATATTCCATACCATTTAACGGGAAAATGCTAAGCCCATTTGTCCAGGCTAACTATTTGGGTTAGGAGATTAAAATGTTTTTGTACAAAGCTGAAATCTAGCCATTTGGGTGTCCTGAAAACAAGCCAATCAGATTTTTCAAAATGCTTGGGATCATCATTCTAAATTGAAACAATTTGTAACCCGAGCTTTATTTAAATTAGCTAGCTGCCAGTAGAGGTGGGGTGGTGGGTGGGGGCATTGGGAGCTTAGTGGTTATGCACTGAGCTGCTAACTGCAAGTTCAGTTCAAAACCATCAGCCAGCTCCAAGAGAGAAAATGAGGCTTTCTACTCCCGAAAAGAGCTGATATCTCAGAAACTCAAGGGCAGTTCTACTCTGCCTTAAAGGGTTACAAAGCATCAGAATTGTCTCCATGGCAATGAGTTTTGTTTTTTGAGAGGGAAAAATATTCTCTTTAAAAAAAAAGTGGAAGGAAATTAAGAAAAAAATACATGGGAAACCAATATGATTCCTTATGAGAATAATGAGTTAGGGATTAGTAAAATGTTTTAAAAGATACTTAACCAAATTAAATCATTAGTGACCTCCTAAGGAGCCTTGGTAGGATAGTGGTTGGCCTGCTAACCCCAAGGTCAGAGTTCAAAACCACCTGCCCCTCCTCAGGGGAAAGAGCAGGCTTTCTGCTCCTGTGAAGAGGTACAGTCTTGGAAACCCACAGGAGCAGTTCGACCTGCCCTACAGGGTCACTCTGAGTCAAAAACCACTCCATGGCAGTGAGTCTGGTTCTCTGTTGTCCATCCTCCAGGGATCCTTGTAATCAGTTCCCCCTTCCCACTCCACCCTAAACGAGTGATTTTTTTAACGTAGATCAGGAGAGGAAAATCTTTTTATCCTGAGAATAATTGCGAGGATGGGACAGAGGCAGGCAGTCCCCGAGTCTGTACATAGGTTGCTATGGGTTGGAACTGACTCAACAGCACTTGACAAAACAACAATATACTAACTATTGAACATTAATAAATAAAATGTGTTTTTAAATTAGTGGATTCAATTCAG